GAGCGGGCACACACACACACACACACAAGGTCATTCCTCGCCTTGTCGCTCATCACGTTATTTGGGTCACCAATGTGTGTGTGTGTGTGTGTGTTCATCTTTGCATGACAAATTGTATCATTACAAGCATTTATAAATGTCCCCTCCCCACACACACAACATGCTCAAATAAACAAATTACTGTAGAAGTTATAAACTGTATAAACGACCCTTAAAATACTCCCACTATTCACGATACCCCCCAAAGCAGCGCCAAATTACCCAAACTCGCACTTAATTTAATTTAGGCCACGACAAAAATCTATATAACCCGGCGCCCTCTGGCTTAGGACGTCGATGCCAGACAGCAGAAGACACACAATACATAAAATCAACCGATAAAACACAATAGGTAACTCAGCCTGGATAGAAAAATACGACCCCTCTTGTTGGCAACATTTCCTCCACGTTTGACATTAAAAATGTATTTAATAATACCCGGCGCAGTTATATTAATTCGGTATCTAATAATATTAATTAAGGTGATAATTAAATAACATACAGATAAACACATTAAAAATATATATTAAATTAGGAGTGTTGCCATCCAGAGGGGGAGTATTATTTCCACGTTAAAAGTACCGTTTTTCAACACATTTGTGTCCTAATAATTGTTGTATTTTTTTCTATTTGCGTTTTTTTATTTCTTTGTCTGGTTTTCACCTTTTATTTACGTTTATCTATTTGTCAATCTCGTCGTTTGTCTGTCTATCTGAGTTGTTCGATAATGTTTATTTAATCATTATGTATATGTATTTGTCTTTCTGTCTGTCACTGTTTATCTTTCCTGCCCTCTCTCTCCTTCCTCCAAATCCTCTCTCATCCTCCCCTCTATCTTTAACTTCCCTCGTTCTTCTCCATTTCCTGCTTCTACCCCACCTTTCTCTTTTCTTCTCTTTCTTATCCCTCCTTCCTCCCCATCCTCTTTCCTCCTCCTTTACCCTTTCTCTGTCCCCATTCATCTCATACTCTCCTTTCCTTCTTCTCTCATTCCCTCTCCTCTCACCCTCCCCATCTCTTCCTGCTCCTCAACCTCTCCCACCCTCTTCCTTTCTCCCTCCCCTACCACTCTCTACCTTTCTCTCCCCACCCTCACTCTCTCCTCTTTCTCCTCCCCGCCCCTCTCACTTCACAAACACAAAGCAGCAACTCTTCCCCAACCCCATCCAACCCCGCCACTTGCACCATCACGCGACCACCACCACCATCACTCTTCCTGACGGCGCCCCAACTGAGGACAGATCCTTTGTTGGTAGTTAAATTTTACACGTGGCTGAAAGATTACTTAGAGAGCATTACACAAATACTATCACACACACTACTACCAGCCAGGGACTGATCGTGTACTGTCAACCCAATTTTACGCGAGTGAGTGATTCTTTACTGACCATTAAATGTGAACTTCCTGGCGTTGAGTACTGACACAGCACTGACAACCCAATTCTTTATGAGGGTTCACACACACACACACACACACACACACACACACACACACACACACACACACACACACACTACTACTACTACTACTACTACTTTGCTGTCACTCGGAATCGAGTATGACGATCATCCAGCTATGATACAATGATACGAGTTATTAAGGATGTCACCTAGGTTGGTGTGTGTGCGCGCATTCGACTCGTTCCTTTGTAATTTGACTAATAAGCAATGACGCGATCTATCGAACAGCAACACAATATCGTTCGCGCTTATAATGAAAAACATACAGTACGGATGTTATATATCTACACTTCTTTTTATAAATAATGAATACGATTAATGGTGGTATAATGATGTATTGAGAAAAAATACATGTGAAAATTTTTCAATAAAATAATAATAATAATAATAATAATAATAATAATAATAATAATAATAAATTTTCAGCAGTTCCATGTTACGTAAAAATTCACCAAAAAATTAAACGGCTTTATGTAACCCAAAATTGGAAGTAGAACAATTGGTGTTAGTAATGGTTACATAACTCGGATTTAGGCAGTTACTTAATAAATATGACATACAATATATTAAACAATTTAGCTGAGTTTTGTATTTGGACTCATTGAATGGATTTCGTTAGAGAGAGAGAGTGCTCGGGGATAATAGGGGGAGCAAGGTGGTGGTGGAGAGCCTGGCGGTGGTGGAGGGAACCAGGTTGTGGTGGTAGAGGGAGCATGGTGGCGGTGGAGGGAGCCTGGTGGTGGTGGAGGGAGCATAGTGGTGGTGGTGGTAGAGGGAGCATGGTGGTGGTGGAGGGAGCCTGGTGATGGTAGTGGAAGGAGCCTGGTGGTGGTGGTAGTGGAGGGAACCTGGTGGTGGTGGGAGGAGCCTGGTGGTGGTGGTGGAGGAGCCTGGTGGTGGTGATGGTGGGAGGGCCTGGTGGTGATGGTGGTGGAGGAGCCTGGTGGAGGAACATGGTGGTGGTGGTGGTGGTGGTGGAAGGAGCCAGGTGGTGGTGATGGAGATAGCATGGTGGTGGTGGTGGTAAAGGGAGCATGGTGGTGTTGCAGGAGTATGGTGGTGTTGGAGGGAGCATGGTGGTGGTGGGGTGGAGGAGGGGTGAGGGAGCAGGTGGTGGTGGAGGGAGCATGGTGGTGGTGGAGAAAGCATGGTGGTGGTGGAGAGAGCATGGTGGTGGAGGAGCACGGTGGTGGTGGAGGGAGCATGGTGGTGGTGGAGAGCATGGTGGTGGTGGAGGAGCATGGTGGTGATGGAGAGAGCATGGTGGTGGTGGAGGAGTATGGTGGTCTGGAGGCAGAACGTTATCTCGCCTTTAAGCTGAATATTGACTGTAAGTTCCGGCCGTACACACACTGAAGGTACACACACGAGATACACACATGAACGCATTCACACTAACGTACACTCATTGACGTAAATATATATACATAAGCATACTCACCGACGTACACACACACACACACACACACACACACACACACACACACACACACACACACACACACAACAGACAGACAGACAGACAGACACTAAGACGTCACCCTAGAGGAAACGAAGCCATATAGCCAACGAGGGAATGCACGAAATGTTTATTACGACCCCACCACCACTACTACTACGACCCCCACCACCACTACACACGACCCCACCACTACTACTATTATGACCCCCACCACCACAACTACTACGGCCCCACCACTACTACTACGACCCCACCACTACTACTACGACCCCCACCACTACTACTAAGACCCCCACCACCACTACTACTACGACCCCCACCCACCCTCAACTACTACGACCCCCACCACTAATACTACGACCCCACCACTACTACTACGACCCCATTCACTACCACCAGTACGACCCCACTCACCACCACTACTACGACCCCCATCCACTACCAATACTGCTTCCCCACCCACTACTACGACCCCACTCACCCCTAACCACTACTCTCACCACCACCCACCACTACCCTTACCACTACCCCCACCACTACCCCCTCACCACTCACCCTCACCCATTACCCCACTACCCCACCACTACCCCCCACCACCACCCTCACCACTACCCCCACCACTACCCCCTCACCACTACCCCCACCACTACACCACCCACCCACTACCCCTCACCACTACCCTCACCACTACACCCACCACTACCCTCACCACTACCCTCACCACTACCCCACCACTACACCCACCACTACCCTCACCACTACCCCACCACTACCCCTCACCACTACACCCCACCACTACCCTCACCACTACCTCACCACTACACCCACCACACTACACCCACCACTACCTCCCCCACCACTACCCTCACCACTACCTCACCACTACCCCCACCACTACACCCACCACTACCCTCACCACTACCCCTCACCACTACTCCACCACTACCCTCACCACTACCTCACCACTACACCCACCACTATACAGAAGTTAATAAAGTCGATGAATGAATTTGAACAACTGAGGAAATGCAGAAGGGTTAAGAAATGCTAACATAGGTGAAGAAAATAGGTAAAGAAAGGAGATATGAAGAAATGAATGTTAGCTGAGAGAGAGAGAGAGAGGGGGTGGGGGTTATACCGCTTTATTATTATTTGCTCGTTCTTCCCGCTGCATTATAGTGGGTAAAGCATTGAAAAAATGGTGCATTACTATCATTATGGTTTTAAAAGAAAGTCCATTTTGTGTGCTTGAATATTTGGCGAGTTTTCTACTGCTACTTCTGTATACAGTAATACACCATCCACTTCAGCCAAGATGGACATTAAATACGGTTATAAATCTTAAATCTACATAAACGATCTAGATACTGGGATCAGTAGTGACATAAGCAAGTTTGCGGATGACACCAAAATAGGGCGGCAGACTAATTCAGGGCAGGATGCATATGCACTACAGGATTTAAATAAACTGCTGCAGTGGTCAGAAAAATGGCAAATGAAATTCAACAACAGCAAGTGCAGCGTACTTAATATTGGAAGAACAAATACTGTCAATGTATACAGCCTTAACAACATCAACCTAGAGAAGTCGACTTGTGAAAGAAACCTAGGGGTACTTGTAAGCCCGGACCTACGGCCTAGAAAATAATGCGTTAATGTTCGAAATAAGGCAAACAGAGTATTAGGTTTTATATCTAAAAGTGTAAGTAATAAGAGTGCGGAGGTCATATTGCAACTATATCTTGCGCTAGTCAGGCCACACTGATTATGCTGTTCACTTCTGGTGCCCTTATTATAGAATGGATATCAATTCACTGGAGTCGGTGCAGCGAAGTGGGTGAAAAGCATTACTAAAGGAGATTATAGATAAAGTTCTTATAATATCCGAGCAGGATAGGACTCGTAGCAACGGATTTAAGTTGGATAAGTTTAGGTTTTGGAGGGAGATAGGAAGGAACTGGTTCACAAATAGGGTGGTAGACGAGTGGAACAAGCTTAGCAACTTTGTAGTAAGTGCTGGAATGCTAGAAAGTTTTAAAAGGAGGCTAGATAGATTCATGGATGATAGAAAGTGGTTGTAACTCTCGACAGATGCCATGCACAGGCCAACCGGCCTATTGCAGACCCTTATTTTCTTTTTCGTCTCATGATGGAGCGAGACACTTACCTGCTTCCCCCCGACGACAATGAGCAGAAGCAGCAGGAGGAGCGTGGTGAGTAGGGAGCCCAGGTCCACGTCCATCCTCCCTGCTGACGGTGGCGGGAGCTCCCCGCCTCAACTCCCAGTCTTCTGAGGTTCAAGGCAGGTTCAGTGCCCCATCGAGAACCCGGACGGTTTCACCCTAGAGAACACTAGTGGGTGTCGATGTGGTGGTGGTGATCTCGGGCGACACATCAACACTAGGGAGTCGAGGTAACGATCATAACAACACACTGGACAATGTTTTCTCACACTCGCATAGTTTAATTAACACCTCACTCTGCACAATATCACTGGCTTCATTACAACGTGTGGCAGTTTCACCTTCAGCTCATACAAAGCCTCAAGTTCCCTTCAATAGTTCAGAGGCTCTGGAATTACTGTCTAAGGTCACACTCCACATACAAACAATGGGTAAAGCCGTTTTGAGTTCACTTCCACATTCCTTTACTTCTCAAAACCATTTTATTCAATATGAACATTATAAACGTTCGCTCTGTTCCTCCCTTGTGATCACCCCTCCAGGAACTGTTCAAAATATTCACAGGAAACGAGCACCTTTATTTTGTTTAATAATATGGTAGTCAAGAAGCGTAACTCCACACTATAATAAATTAACACTTCAGGATATTTCAGTTTTCACCATCAGGAAGTTGGTGATTGTCTTTTTTTTCCGAGAGCAATAAATCTTGACCTTAGTATCACTGTCACAGGTTTTGACGGGTCCTTCCCTTCAACGTCTTGCGACTCTCTTCACTGTACCGACACTTTGTTCACCGCCTTGGGACGTAGCTAGTTTTATGTGGACAAGAGATGGACCCCTCCTTCCTTCGGGTCAGCACCCCAACTCTCTCAACCTCCTTTCGATTCTCACCACACTAACACGAGCACAGAATGTTTTTTCCACAGAATAGATCAGTTCAGTAAGACTTAAAACAGGATGTCCTTATGTATATAGATATATATTTATATATATGTATATAAATCTAAAGGCTCTCATGTGAGGAATACCGTTTAAAAGGATTGATGAAGGCCGCTCGAGTTCTCTCGTTTAACAGATACATTATCTACATTAGGTTATACACTGTTCGTAAATGGAAGCACAAAAATCACAAGAGTTGTAGTGTTGGTGGAAGTATGTCTGGCTTGCCTCCACTGAGTGTCACAAGATGTCCGGCTAGCCTCCACGAAGTGTCACAAAGTGTCCGGCTAGCCTCCACGAAGTGTCACAAGGTGTTCGGTTTGCCTCGACGGAATGTCACAAGGTGTCCAGCTAACCTTTATAGTGTTACAAGATGTCCAGCTTACCTCAGAAGTGTCACAAGATGTCCGGCTTGCCTCAGCAATGTCACTGGGTGTCCGATTTGTCTTAGTGGACCGTCACAAGGTTTCACTTTTGCCTGAATAAAGTCATAACGTGTCCAGCTGGCCTTAATAATGTCAAAATGTGCCCGGCTGGCTTTCCCATAGCATTAGTAGTAAAATTTGCATAAAATATTGAGCTTCTTCAGATACCCTAAAACCTGCGGAGGAGTTGACCCATAAGCGTGTGCCGGCAGTGGCTGATGAAGTCTTGGTCGACCTCTTCTACACCTGAGAGACCCTCTGGTGAGGTTGTGTCGTGACCACGGTCTTCTGCGACCTTAGTACACCCGGGATAAGTCTTTCTTAAGCCCTGGGCCATTTAGCTCAAATTGAAGGTGAAATTTTCTGGGATCAACAATACTGAATATAAGCCGAACTTGTGGTGAAAATAACATAAACTCCCAAAACTTGATGTTGTGAGACGTGCAATTAATCTGTGGTGATGACAACTTTTGGCGAGATGTTATTGCTATTATGAGAGATGCTGAGCGGTTGAACTGGAGTATGTCACGAGGGTTGAGAGGAAAAAGGCAACAAGAAGGTGACCTCACAGAAGACTTTCTTGACTCCTCTAACTCGCGTCCTCACAAAAGATAGCTTCAGGTCCAGGCAGAACTATCGCGAATCCTCTAAACCGAAGTTCACTAAGCTGAGGATAAGGAGATAAAGAGAGGGAGGTGAAGAAGAACTGTGAATGTATTGACTGAAGAAGTATATAGGGTGACCACCGCACCAGAGATGAGCTAAGGTCAAACAGAAGATGACCTTGTACTACCAGGTTCTGGTGAAACTCTAGAGAGTGGGGGTCTCTTCTCCCTGAAAGAATCTCTTGAGGAACTGTCTCTTGGCCATCTAGTCAAAGCACGGTCACTCATCCAGCCCATTGTCTCTTCGATCTAGATTTCCCTTTTTTTTTTCTTTTCAATTCTCGTACGTCGAAGAAATAAATAATGTCTTTTTCTCGACACTCACAACACGGTCAGCAAACACTCGAGGTCTACTGATCAAAACACTGACCAACACTCTAAAATCTCAAACTGTATCATCGGCGCAGTATAAATACCATCACACCAGCCTACACTTCCAACACACTGCCTGTCTGTTGTGATGGCAAAGATTGTGTGGGGTCGCCTTTACTTCCAGCTTCTGTGCTATCCTGGGGACATAATATCCAGCACTCTTCTTAACAAATCTGCAAAAACAAGAAGAGAAAGATAAACACCACTTGAAGATATCTTAAATGTTACAGCTTAGTAGACAATGATGGCCAAACTTACATCCCAGAGACAAATATAGTACACACAACCCCACTACTCCCCCCCCTAACTACGGTCCCCCGCCCCCACCAACACCCCCCCTAACTATGGTCCCCCGCCCCCACCACTACCCACACTACCACTATCCCCCTAACTATGGTCCCCCGCCCCACCCTCACTACCACCCCTACCCCCTTAACTATGCCCCCGCCCTACCCCACTACCACCACCCACAGAAAAAAGAAAACTACAAAACAAAGACTTTCTACAGGACTCAGGCCATGATGAGTGTACTGGCGTGTCCTCTGGCCTCACGTTCTCTGCAGGGTACGTTTCTGTGCGTGTGCGTGTGTGTGTGTGTGTGTTTTGTGTTCATGCATACATTCGTCTCTGTCATTGTATACATGTGAGTAAGGATGTATATCCGTGTGTAAGATTGTATATACGTGTGTAGGATGTGTAATAGTAACTGCCTCTTCACCTTTCTTCCTTCCATCCTACCCCCTCCCCTTCCCAGCAGCTGACTCAGTTGAATCAATGGTTCCCCCCCCCCGCCTTGCTCTCTACTATCACCCTTTCTCCCTTTCTTTCTCCTTTCACTAACTTTCTTTCACCTCTTTCTGCTTCTTTGTATCTCTGTCTCTCTTCTTTCACCCACTTTCTTTTCTTCATTTTTTCATCTCTTACTTCTTTGTCTATTTCGTCTCAAACTTTCTTTCTCCGAATTTCTCATTCCTTCCACCTACTTTATTTTCCTATCTTCCTTCATCCTCTTGCTTTTTTCTTGTTCTCTCTTTCACTTTCTTCACCCTTCTTTCTTTCCGCTATACAGTACATATAATCAGTGATAAAATGGACCCCAGTCTTACGCAAACCTAACCCAACCCAACTTAACCAATTTCAACCTAATCCAACCAAACCTATTCCAACCCAACCGGACCGAACCCAACCCAACCATGCCCAACCCAATCTGACAGAACTTAACCTATTCCAACCAACCTACACTAAACAAACCCAACTAAACTAAACCTAACCAAACTTAAACTATCTCAACCTAACATTTCCTAACCTAACCTAACCAAACTTAAACTATCTCAACTTAACCTAACCTAACTTAAACTATCTCAACTTAACCTAACCTAACCAAGACTCACGATACACACAGACATGGGGGAGAAAACCCTTTAAAAACACTAGGCCTTCATTATATACATAGTGTATGATAGTTAAGGTGTTATAAGCTTGATATAACTATAGTAATATACATGGTGTATAAAAACTATGTAAGTCACTTATAAACAATAGAGGAACTGGTAAACACCTATATAAACACTACCAAAGGCGGGTAATAAACAAATAGTAAATAGTTATAAATAGTAAGAAATAGTAATAATGGCGTAATATTATAGGTAAGATTATTATTAACGATACTTACCAACCACTGCACGTACACAGTGTAATGGTAACAACACTTACAAACACGACCTACCACTCATCCACCTGCTAGTCACCCACCTGCCAGTCACTCACCTACCACTCACCCACCCGCCAGTCACCCGCCTACCATTCATCCACCTGCCAGCACCCACCTACCAGTCACCCATCCGTCAGTCACCCACCTGCCAGTCACTCACCCACCCGCCAGTCACCCACCTACCACTCACCCACCTACCACTCACCCACCTGCCAGCACCACCTGCCAGTCACTCACCAACTTAACAGAGCTCAGGGGAGGTCACGACCCGTACCCTTGACCCGTGACCTTCCTGACGGCCAACACCTGCAGTATTTATCACCCTGGTAAAGGTGGGGGATTATCACACCATCAGCTCATGTTTGTTTGTTTGGTGTGTATGTGTGTGTTTTTTGTGTGTATGTGTGTGTTTTGTTTTTGTGTGTACGTGTGTGTTGTATCAGCATGTACATCTCATTTGTGTATATATGTATAACTATTGAATGTATTCTTGTACGTGTTTATATGCGTGTGGATGTGGATGTGCGTGTACATTTGCAAACGTTGTACTTAAATATAGGCTAAGTGTGCGTGTGTGTGTGTAGATACCATCCACCTCAGACGCAAACATAACACCAATCACAAGCTTTTCACATACGACACAGATGGCCACTTTCCCCTCCTAACACCCTAAGACATTCTCCTGGTCTTCACTTAACTAATAAACTTACCCACTTACGATAGATCTCATCAACCAAAATACAAGTGAATATAAGATGTAACTCACTAAAAACAAATTGTAAGTATATAAAGTAAAAGTATTTAAATTCTTATCATTATAACTATTAATAAAGTAATTACCCTTATTTATATATTTACTGTTTTCTTCCCTGTGTTTATATTCTTGTTGAGAATATCATCATTACTTATTATTACGATGATTATTATTATTATTATTATTATTATTATTATTATATTATTAATCATAATTGTAGTTAGGTTTATCATTATCCATATATGTGTAATTCTCAAGCTGTTATCACTATTATTTCGAAATATTGTTAATACAAAAATCCTTACTACTTTCCTGTCAAAATTTGTAAATGAAATAACTTCAATAACAAGAAATTACTCCAATAACAATAACCACAACAAGAAATTACTTCAATAACCATAACAAGAAATTACTTCAATAACAATAACCACAATAACAAGAAATTACTTCAATAACCATAACAAGAAATTACTTCAATAACAATAACCACAATAACAAGTAGCTCCAATAACAATAACCACAATAACAAGAAATAACTCCAAAAACAATAACCAGAACAATAAATAACTCCAATAACAATAACCACAATAGCAATAAATAACTCCAATAACAATAACCAGACCAATAAATAACTCAAATAAAAATAACTCCAATAACAATAACCACAACAAAAAATAACTCCAATAACAATAACCACAAGAACAATAAATAGCTCCAATAACCACAACAGCAATCAAAACAATAACAACAATAGTACGGTAATACAATAATCACAACACGTAAAATTCCACTTTGCTTTCGAATACTTAAGCGGTGACTCACTCAGGAGATCAATACGACTTTTCAACAAGGAGAACGGTCAAGTGGGCCCCAGTCCTAATGGGCCCCAATTCTTACGTGCCCGGGTTCTACTGAATCTCAATCTTAATGGATTCTAATCGTATTCTTGGCCTCGGTTCTAATAGATTTCAATACTAATGGTTTTCAGACTTTATGGGAGTTCGTGCTAATCGGCTCTGATTTCAACAATTAGGTTGGGGTCTACTGAATACCCTGTACTATAGGCTAATCATATTAGACCTTAGTCCTAGTGTTTACGTTACCTTTTTCCTGAGGCACGATATATTACGTCTAAAATGTTACTGAATACTTGGAGAAATAGAAACAAAAAAACATTGATACAGTTATGAATAATATAGTATTGTAGTAACATTTCGTATTACACATAAAATAAACACTAAATAAATGAGTAAGTGTACGGATATATCGATAGATAAATAAATCACACCAACAATAACAAGAAAAAAGAAAAAGAAAACGGGAGAAAATGAAACTGCCAAGAAAAAATCCAACAAACAGACACACGGACACAATAATATTAATTACGAAGGGCTAAAGAAAAGAAAATGACAAAGAACAAAGACGAATTAAAAAATATATATATAAATATAATGGAGACACAGACACACAAAGAACGATATAAAAATTACTGTATTATTGTTTGTATAGTAGAGGGCTGCTGGTTGGCTGGGTTTGTTTACATGATTGCAGCGTCGTCGGTTACAACACAAAACACCATGATCAATACTCCCCAGTTCCCGCGTTTTCTATTTATAGCCTAGGCGGTGTGTGTGTGTGTGTCCTTGGGTGCATGTATATAGGCATAAACTAGTCTGTAACCATAATTGAGTAAAAATGCTCGTTTATATTTAGGTATAATATAAACATATAAACCATACTCCAGTCTATACACACAGTATTTACAAACACACTGAGGTAGCACATACAGGTGACAGAAGCCCATACACAGTTATACGCCGCCACGTACCGTAACAAGCCAAGCGTATAATTATATAGCCAGAGCAACACAGCTGGAGAGAGAGAGTCAACATCATCACACTCATTCGCTCTCCCCCAAACTCTCTTTCATCCCCTCTCTCGCCCTCCCTTCATCTCTTTCCCTAGTACTCGCCTGTCTCGCCTTTTCCCTCCCTCTATCGCTTTCCTCCCCTGCTCTCTCTCACTCACTCTCCCTCTTCTTTCTCCCTTCTCTCTTCAAATCCTCCACCCCCTTCTTTTCCATCTCTGCCTCCCATCCTCCCTCTATTCTTTCTTTCTTTTCAGCATCCCCTTCAATCTCTCTCTCCTTCTCTCTATTCCTATCTATCTCTCATTTCACTTCCTTTCCTTGTCTCCCCTTAGTATCATTCTTGACCGACATTCTTCTTTTTCTCTCCCTACCTCCTTCCTTTCACCCATTCTCTATCTGTTACCGCACTCCCCCAACCCTTCTCTCTTTCCTTTCTATCTCCATTTCCCTCTTATCTTCCTCAACCCTCTCACCTCTTCCATTCCTCTTGCTCACACTTTGTTTTCTCTCCCCCTCACTCCCCTCCTTTATCTCTCTCTCCAATTCCCTCCCTTCCTTCTCTCCTGTCCTCCACAATAGCAGCCTGCTGGGTTATAAAGGCTGCCTTGGCCAGCACTAAGTCGTAACTCCCTCCACCGTGTCCATTTAAAGAGGGGAAAATGGTGATGATGGTATATAGATAGATAGATAGATAGAGAGAGAGAGAGAGAGAGAGAGAGAGAGAGAGAGAGTTCCTATTTATACACGAACCAACGTACAAATTAATAATCAAATCAGCATCCAAATAATTAGCCAATTTTTAATCCCCCAAAGGTACACACACACACAAATCACTTTC